CTCTGGGGGTTAAGTTGCTACCTGGACTCCTACACCCTAATGACCCTTATTTCCTTTAAATCGTAGGAGCTGTTCCCATCATGCTGTGTCCTGGTCACAGCTGTCTGGTCACTCCTACTGTGTGTTCATCAGGCCCTCACTGCAGTTACCCACGGGAGATGATGTAAGGCCACTCAGGTTGCAGTGCAGGTAACGCTTTACCAACCACTGTCATGGACGGCGTAAGTGTCTCTTCATGTCCGCCTCCACGTCCTGAATCAGCAATTTCTGTGAAACGAAAACATGATGGGATGTCCTCATTCGCCTTATCTGCCTCCATATGACTTCTGACTCTTTCCCAAATTCAACATGACCACAAAAGGCAAAGTCTTGAATTGATCCAGGACTTTGAGACAGCAATGACAGTGCAACTCAAGACACTCTGGAAAGAGGACTTCCAGAGAGGCTTCAGAAAGTGCATTCAGACTTTCAGAAAGTGTGTTCAAAGGGAGGAGAAGTATTCTGAGGAAGATTAATAGCAATGTGTCTTTTACTGTAATATTTTGAAAATTCAATCATTGCCCATATCTTCTGAGTGAACTCTTGCGTTGTAGCTTGGGTTGACATAATTAGCACTTTTTGTTAATGGTAGTGTGGTCAATTTTGAAGGAAGTCTGAGAAGAGTAACAGTCAAAATACTTATTTTGTCTTGTAGAGTCTGGAAAACAGAGTGGTTAAGAGCCTGGATTAGAATCTGGGGTCAAATCATTTACTATCTTCATAACCAAATTGCCTGACATTATCAAATCTAAAATATCATTGGCCAATCATTAAAACAGAAAAGATGTGTTCTACGTTTATGAAGGTTAAAATGTAGATTATTTTATCTTAGAGCTGAGAGAGTATTCATCCCTTGATCCGCAGTTGTAACACCTGGGTTCCTCAGGAGTCACCATCCTGCCTGGTCCACACCTGCAGTCCCATCCTGCCTAGCTCAGCCTCTGGGAAGGGCCTCAGTAATGAGTGTGGACCTTGGTGCCATTTTTTTCTGCTAACTCAACCTATCTGCTCCTCACAGTCTTAGACGGGCATCTAATCTGAGCTGCTTGGATCAAGATTTTTCCCTGGGATTCTCCCTCTCCCCATATTGAAAAATATATTTAATTATTTTTGGAGTAATTTTATATTTATAGAAAATATGCAAAGTTAGTTTGGAGAGTTCTTGTATACCCTTCATTCAGTTTACCCTGTAGCTGACATCTATCATTTGTGTAAACTAAGAAATTCACACTGGTATATTACTATTAATTACAGTGCAGTTTTAACTTTTTCCCATTAATGTCATTTTGTTCCAGAATCAAATCCAAGGTACTGAATCTACACTGGGTTTAGTTTTTGTGCCCCTTTGGTCCCATTGAGCTGTGATAGTGTCTTACTTTTTCCTTGCTTTTCCTTAATGACTTGATTTAGAGGAGTGCTGGGTGAACATTTTGTAGCATGTCCTTCAATTTCGATTTGTATGACATTTTCCTCCTGATTGGACTGGAGTAGTAAATTTGGGAAAGAACTGTAAAAATGAAGACACTCTTCTTACCTACATCATGACGGGATATCACAAGCAGCATCTGTTCGGCATCCCTGGTGACACTGACCTGCACCTTGAGGTGAAAGATTGCTATGGGATCTAAGTCACTGCTATGCAAAGCGAGTATCCACTACTGAGCCAGACATGTAGAGATGCATTACTGTTGGGTATTATTACTGTTAATTTATAAAGACTTGTATTTAAATCAGTATATGTACAAGTATTGTGGAAATAAACGAATGGTGGTGACTTTCTTGATAGTACTTGGGAATCTGAGACAGTACACTAAAAATATGTCATTATTGGATTGGGCTCAAAGAGGAGAGAGAAGACCTCGGTTTTGTCAAGACCTGGCTGCTTGCTCAGCAGCTAAGCCATGTTTGCCTTAGATTTAGAAGCAAGAAAAGAGCACCCTGGTATTTGAAGTAGATAATCGTGCACATTCTCTTCCCCGAGGAAAGGGCCATCAGAGCTGTTTCTGCAAGAGCATCTTTGATTCACAAACACTGTGCTTACCCTTAATGTCCCCTGACTGTTACTGGAGGGGTTTCAGCCTGCAGGAGCACAAAGGGGTGGTGCTGAACATGTACATCTTCAGTGCACATCGTGAGTTGATCTGATAGGACATTTGTCTGCAGTCATGAAATGAAAGAATAATTGGAGCAAAGGTGACTTAGTATAATTTTCGTTTAGTTCTTTACATTTAATTTTGTTTTCACAAAGGAGCAACAGCTATCTAGTAAATGAACTTTTAACAGGTCTTTAATGAGGCTGTCTTGAAATTTCCTTTTTTTGGTAAATTTATGAACAAATGGTTTCCCATTTCCAGTGTAGTTGTGATTTTCAGCCAGGTCCATACCCTTGTCCAAGTGGGCTGTCTCTGTTTGCAGGCAGAATGCACTCAGGGGCCGGGCCAGTACCCGCAAACGTGAGAGGTTTGGGCAGTGATACGGGCCACTCTTAAGGGATTCGAAGTTGATAATTTTTGTTACAAAAAGTAGAAGACAAAGGGAGGCAGACGGCGGATGGTGACTCGAGCACAGTCTGTACCTCCTGACGTCTACCCCTGGGGGCCGACTGTTCCAGACCCCATGTTCTCCTTCTGGAAACCCAGGAGTGGGCCAGCAAGCATCCCTTGGGAACTGAAGGTCAGAATACACACAAATGAAAACTCCGGTGCTCTGGTGCCAGTCCTCCAACAACTTCAGTTCACTGGGGAACTAAAATAAAGGTAGCACAGAACGAGAGGGACAAACAGCTAAGGAAAAAAATGTCCAGAAAAGGAAAAGAACTAGGAAAAAGGAGGAGGAATAATCAAAGTGTTGTGTGGAAGAAATGCAGAGAGAAGGTCCTGGAAGAGGACGCAAAGGATTCCAGGAGGAAGCAGGTTAAGGGACACATTCTGGACCTGATGCTTTTAATATAACTGCAAATGCAGTTTACGTGAACTGATCCCTGGACTGCATTCACTTATTTATAGACAAATATGAAAAGGACTACTATGTGAATTATGTGGGGCTTGAGAATGAGAGAAAAGGAAAACCAGCCAGTTATTTACATAGTTCAGCGGTGGCCCGGGAGAAAGACACAGGAGCTGTAAAAACAACAGTGCTTCCCCTACCTGTGCAGATGGGGGCCACAGGGGAAAGCCCAGTTTTCATTAGCAACTGCTTTACTAGTGATCACGCATGCCCCACCAGAACAGACAGAATGAGTTTCTGTCCTGGAGAGAAGATCGGGGGCTGGGGCCTCGGCTGCCCTGGGAGCTCCTTAGGTGGCTCTGATGAGCAGCCGCACTTTGGAAGTAAGCAGGCCCTGAAATAAAGATTTTGAAGAGCCAGGGAAGAGGCCGAACTGTCGCCCTCAGACCAATCAAAGTGTGCACCCAGCGAGCGATCACTTCAAAGCACTTCTACACTTCTGCTCTTCTCTGCGGAACGCGAACCCCCAGATTCGCAGCAGGCATGCATCCCTTCTTCCACGGGGAAACAGGGGGAGGCCAACACCCCGTCCCTCGTTCTGCTACTCGGTACTTTGCTTCGGGAATCTTTCTTCCTCCAGGAGGACGGACAAGTTCACGTGTGTGGGCGGGGCAAGCTCATTCGCTCAACAGAGCCAGGGACTCGGTTCCAACCAGCAATCAGCTTCGCACACGTCCTCACCTGTGTGGGCCCAGACCTGCGCTGCGGTCCTAATCGGAGAAGCTAACAGGGACGGAGGTGGGGAGCGAGGGAGGAACGTGAGCTCTCCGCTGTCTGCGAGCTGGAGCGCAGCCCTCCCAGGCCTTGTAGTTAGCGTTGCAGGGACGATCCGCACCTTCTCTGCCTTACTGTCCCTTGTCACTCGGAATCCGGAAAATGCGATGTTTTGGAACAACTCGCTTAGGAAGGAAAGCCCGAGGCTTTAGAATTAAAACGTGCTGCTTCTCGTGACCGTGGTGCAGGAGCCGGATGTCGCGGGGTCCACGGCACCAAAGTTCGGTCGGAGGAGGAAGAGTGGGGGCATCAGGCCGAACGCAGGGTTTACTCCCGTCGTTCCCCGCCACCGGAGGCGCGGCCTGCGCGGCTGTCCTTCGGAGCGCCGTCTGGCTTCCCCACGAAGCCGTGCCGGAAAGTCAGGAGGCCGCGCGCGCGCGGCTCCGTCCGCAGACGAGGGCGACGCCGCAGCCCGGAGTCAGGGTGGCGCTGGCCAGGTGTGGTGGGGCCGGGGGACCGGGAAGGGCGGGCGCTCAGCCTCGGCGACGCCACCGGTCTTCAGCGAGGGCAAAACAACTGCCAGGGCCGGGCCGGCTCCGTCCGAGAACCCGGGAAACAGGCCGGCGGGCAGGGCTCCGGGCGGACTTCCGGGCCTTCTGCAGGAGCGAGCGGGCGGGCGGGCGCAGCTCGAGCGCGTCTGGAAGTCGCCGAGCCCACAGCGGCCAGACGCCCCCGAATTCCCGGCCCGGCCCGCAAAACGGGGCCTGGGGCCTCGGTCCGGGTCGGGCTCCGGCTCCGAGGCGCCGCAGACCGGTGGGACGGCAAGGGCGGGTCCCCGACCCCGACCCTTGCGCCCGAGCGCCCCCTCCTGGCCGCCCCGCGGGGCGGGCGCGGGGACAGGGAGCCGCCGTCTCAAGGTCACGGCGTGTTCGCGGACCCCGAACTTTCTCCCCGCCAGGTGCGCGGGGCACCGGGTCTGCAGCGGCTCCGGGCCCGCGGCCGGGGCGGGGGCGGGGCCACGGGGGCGGGGCCCGGCGGCGCGGGCGGGCGGTCCCTTCCGGTGCCGTGCTCCGTGCGCGGCCCCGCCCCTCTCCGCCCGCCCGCGAGACGGTAGCGGCCGCGCAGCCGGGGACGCGGACCTGAGGACGCGGGCGGGGACGGGAGCGCGCAGCCCACACTGCGCCGCCGGGCCTCGGTGAGTGCAGCAGGGATCGGGGCGCTCGTTACTCGGGCGGGGCAGGACTCCGTGCCCAGACCCAGTAGCCGGGACTCGGGCCGGGGCCTCGCCTCACACCCGGGCGGCAGGAATGCTCAGTTCCCAGGGCGGTGCTGCGCTCCGTACCCGGGGACTCGGCACAGGGAGGGCAGGTGCGGCCCCGCCCCGCACCCCACGGCGACCCCGTGCCCGTGGGTGAGGCGCCAGGCTGGGGCATGGACAGGTCCAGGCCTGGGACGGCAGAGGAGCCCTCGGTCTGGAGCTGAGCCCGCCGAGGAGGGGCTGGCCCCGCCGGCAGGGGTCGCCGGAGCCACTCCTGAAGTCCGGGTCTGCTCAGGCCAGGAGCGCGGCAGGTCGGACGCGGGCGGGGACCTCGGACACACTGAGGAGTGCAGCCGCAGGCCGCGGAGGCGGGAGCGGACTTCAGGAGTGTGGGACCTAGCAGGGGCCGGGCTCTGGCAGCCGGCAGCCCCTGGACTCCCGGGGACGGCAGCCAGCCCATGCTGGTGAGCCTTGAACAGAGCCTTTCTCTTGCCATCTGTAAGGTGGAAATTTGAATTAAAAGGCATATGCTGCCATTATCTGCTTCTATGACTTTGGTTTTTCACCAATTCTTCCAGAACATCTAAAGGTAAGATGGCATTCATTTAGCTGTTGGTGCTTTCCTAGCCAGAAGGCGCCGAGATGAAGCATAAACTTGCATGTTTGGCTGTGCATGATGTGCTGTCGGGTCAGCGCTGCGCAGCGTGTTAAATATGGGCAGAGAGGCGCTTGAAAGTGCTGGGGGAGGAAGTGCAGGCTTCCCTTATGCAGGCCAGAGTCCCGGAGGCCAGGCAGCCCTTGCAGCCTAGCCCGAACGTGAAGAACTGTGCTGAGGAGCAGCAGGAGGATCCGGCTGACTCCTCGTGGACACCTCTTGGCTGAGGGTTGTCCCTGAGCCCAGGACAGCACAAGGGACTGCTCAGTGGACCCTCTGCTGCCCGGAGGTGGAGGCATCAGGGGGAGGCAAGGCAGAGCGTGGATTAAGGGCTGATGAGCGGAGCGAGACCGGAGCGTCAGTCACAGTGAACGAAAGGATTTCCTTTCCACGTCCTCTGGTCAGGGATGGATTTTTATCTGCAGGCTCAGAACAGAAGTCCTCAGCGGGAGATGCTTTTGGAGTGTCGAAGCTTTGGGGACAGGTCAGTACTGGCATCTCTGGGGCTAGGCCAGGGTGGCACTGTCCACACTGCATGGTGACGTCACCCCGGAGCAGCGAGGCTGTGTTAGGAGCCACCGTGTGCAGTGCCGACCCGACCCCAGTGCAGCCTTCATGGGCTCCTTCAGATGTCCCTGCGCGAGTCCATCTCGGAAGTCAGGAGGCCGCAGCACGAGGAATCCTTTGCAAACAAGTGTCATGTTCATTTGGTTTAGGAAAATTAAAGAGGTTTCCTCCCAGCAGAACTTCTTCTCAACTTTTAAACAAACCCTAAAATATCCCCGGAGTCTCTAAGGGAAGTGGGCATGCCTGAACTGAGAAGGCGCTTTTGATGAAAACAAGCTAGTACTGCTCTGCAGCGCTGTGTTCAGTGAATGTGCTTTTAGATAGAAAATCTCAATTTGTAAAATTAGTTAAAATGACAACTAGTATGTTCTTCTTTTGAACAAGATTTGGGTTTGAACAAGAATTAGAGAAATATATTTATTAGATGCCCCATATTCCAAAATGCAACCTTAGTGTTTGTAGAAACGGCATGGAAAGGTGAGATTCCCATATGGCCTTTGTGTATTTGGTTTCCCTATTAAATCAATCACATGACATTCTTGAGAAACAAGAAGCCTTTGAGCCTTGGCACAGTGCTTTGCTTGGAAGGGGACAATGGCTTCTGCTCCCGACTGTAATAAGACCTGGGCCGTTCTGATCCCGCCTGCTGGAACTCAGAGCACTGCTGGGGAGAGCTTGGTCGGGGTCACACGAGGCTGGCCGGAGAGAGCAAAGGGGTTGGGCATCTGGCCCATGCGCCATCCCCACCCCCACCCATGGAGCATCGGTGGGTTGCTTCCAAGTTCATTCTGGAAGGATCATCATTAGGGTTGCTTGCTTCCTCCCGTTCTGGTAACCTTCCCTGCTCTGTGGCCATTAGCATCCCCAGGGCTCCTGAGGAGCAGACACACGCACCTGCGAGGTCTCTGGAGCACCCAGCAGCCTCCTGTCTGTGTGTGCAAACACACACAGCTCTTTCTCGCTCCAGGTGGAGCAGGTTTGTGGCTCTCTGGGGAAGAGGCAGTGAGGAGAGCCTTGTTTCCAGCCCAGCCTGCCTTGATTTCCCTCCTCTGGTCTTGGTCAGGGTGCTCCCTTAAGCTTGTGGTCAGTCTTGTCGTCTTGCTGTTAGACAGGCTGCCTCTCCCTGCCAAGGGCATAGTGCAAGAGGTAAGGAAACAGCTTCCGTGTGTTGGAGAGAGAACATATCACAAAAGCTCAAGAAATGGGACATGAACGCGCATGACCGTGCTCGTAAATTCAGCAGGCATTTGCACCTTCAGCAGTAGTGGCGTCTGTTCAGGCACTGCACTCTTGCATGCATTGTATGCACCCACCTTGTGCATTGTAACCAGTTTGCACAACTAAGTTCATTAGGGTAATAGATTTTGTGTGTGTCTTTTACCAAGCCCATTGGTAAAAAGGAACACAAGGTGGATATTTATTGAATTTGGAGCAGTTGTGGAGATATGTCCCTATCTTTCCAGAGACTTCAGAACACAATTAGGGAAATGCAGAAGGCAGAAGAACCATTCAGGGGAAACACTTGCATAGAATTCTGTGTAGGGAAGCAAAGGAGGGTAAAAAACTGAGGAGCAAGATGTCAGGCTGTGCCTGGCTTTTCCTTCCTTGGGGAATGGTTATTGGTTTTCTTTGGCATCTGGCGGCATAAGTGGCTCCTCCTGCACATTCCTGCTGGACGGCTAGGCACCTCTCTACCCTCTGATAGCCACAGGGCAGCAGAGGGTGATGGCTGCTGCTGGTGGCTGGGGTGAAGCAGGATTTCACACTTTCACACCCTGACAGGAGAAGTGAACATTTTTGTTTGTTTTGTTTTAGGTGCTAGGTATTATAATTTACACCTAAAATGTTCCCCCGAAGTCTCATTTTCAGATTTGGAGCTTTTGGAAGGTGACTGAATCAGGGGGCCGCTTGTATTCATCAGTGGATTAATCCATTGATGAGTTCCTGGTAAAATGTGCTGTTTGTAGCTGGGGCCTGGTTGGAGCTGGGGGCCTGGTTGCAGCTGGGTCCCTGGGGGTGTGATGTGGAAGGGTATATTCTTGTCCCCCGCTCCTCCCTTCTCCCTCTGCTTCTTGGACACTATACATGAGTAGCTTTCCTCCACCAGGCCCTTCCACCATCCTGTTTGTGCCTTGGAGCTGGCCAACCGTAGACTGAACCCACTGAAACTGTGAGCCAAAATAGACCCCTCTTGTAAGTTGCAGGAGTCAGATATTTTGCCTCAGTAATAGGAAAGTAACTAATATACTAGTTAGTACCTACACTTTCAATTTTCAGAGTGTATTAGAGTACACTTATTGGGTGTTTTAGTTTTCTTACTGTAGAGACAAATAACCAACACTCAAAATTAAAAGAGGAAAGGTTTATTTCAGCTCACAGTTTGTGGAGGTTTCATTCCTCAGTTGGCTGGCTCCAAGCAGAGGGGCGTCACAGAGGAGAAACAGTTCATGGTGGGCAGAAGGCAGGAAGGCTGCAAAGTAGTGAAGTAGCAAGCAGCAAGTGATAAGCAGTAATAACAACAGCCCTCTTTCTCTCTCTTATATTCTAGCACTCACACCCAAGTTGAAGCAGCCTTAATCCTAACATTGCACCATGAATCAATACCAGCATCACATTCTTGATCCCTGCATCACACACTCTAGATGGAGCCACCTCTGAAAAGCTCCACCTATGACTGCATGAGGCTTTGCAGGACATCTAGATACAAGCCACGACATTGGGTATACTCCTGGGTGGGCCATGAAATAATAATAGGACAACTCCTTTTGCCTATATAAACAAGCTTGGTACATTCTTGCATGCCAATTCTTATCCCAGTTGGAAGGACGGGTGATGTGAGAGATGAGGATTTTTACAAACACCCTGTGTTGTCCTTGCTGAATTCAAGAACATCTACAACACACACATCTAGCAAGATTTTGAAATTTATGCTGTAGCAAAGGTAAAGAGAGTTTCTATTTTAAAATTTCATTTTACCTTTTCCTTCTTAAGCACTAACAATGCCTGCTAATGTAATGTTGCTATCTGTGGAAGATTTTGCTTTTGTTTATAAGTGCTTATTCAACATAAGAATTAAATGGCCTGGAACATCTCCCAAGGCCTCCAGCCTTCCTTATCTTGTGTCTCTCCTGCCTGTGAAATACTCACTGTGTGATGTTTGGATCTGAATCCTGAGCAGAGATGGCTGATAGTGTCTGCTCCAGCTGTGTGGTGTGGTGTTCTCCATCCTCCTGCTGGCTGTCGAGGGCACACGCAAGGTTACCGAGAGCAGCCTGTTTCATGCAAGGGCATGCGTCTTTCTTGACCTTCGTAGATCTCAGCCCTCTGCAATGGGAAGCCTTACTTTAGATTTGAACAGTGGTGCTGTCAGCAGCTTGGAAACCCACCAATACATTTGGAAAAAACTTACAACAAGCCAGAATACTAACCAGCCGTTAACAAGGAATGCAGCTCAGGGCTAGGGTGACCAAGGGCGTGGTGGTGGAATCTGTCTTGTACTTTCTGTTTTGTGGTGTAGATTAGGTAGGGTTTGACTTCATGGAGCTTCCATTCCCTCATCTGTCAGATGAGATACTTTCTTCTCTGCAGAGTTAGTCGTAGGAACAGAGGAAGTATTTGTAACATAGAGGCACCTATGAAGGGCTGGTGCTGTTGCTTGCCTCTCCATCTAGTGCTGGGGTCTGAATGGGCACGGTCCAGCCAGGGGAGGGGGGATTCAGGCAGAAGGGCAATCAGTGAGCAAATAAGATGGAAAAAATTACAGGGTCGCTCCTAGGTTCAGCTGAGACTTGGAGGCATGTGAGTTCCCCTTGAAAGGTGAGGCTGGGATTCAGGGTTTTGCAGTGAACTATCCCTGCTCGGTGGTACGTACTCTGCATCACTTGCGCCAAATCTTTCTCTCTACCCAAACCTTGTCCACCTTGTCATGAGAAAAGAAGAGTACACTTCTTTTCTCATGACATCCATGTGTGTTTACTTATTTAAAAATGCATATTCAGCTCCAGAACTTCTCAGCTGTTCTACACCAGGTCTTCTATACGCAAAACAGGCAGCCAGCTGGTCTCTAACCAAATCTGTGTGGAAGTTCAATTTAGGTGTTCACCCAAATGATCAAAATGATCAAGCACTCTTTTCTTTTTTCTGATTGGGATTAATATAAATAGGGCTTTAGGTAAAGATGTCTTTTTAAAAATACCACTATAGTTAGTGTCATTTAATTAGAATATTTTTTTTGATGATCAGGAAATTAAGGTTGGCCCTTGTAATAGTTCTGATATTCAGTTATTCTTTTAAAATGAGTTCCATGCTCTTATTGTGTTTTCTGGAAGAGTTTCAGATTCAATAAAAACATAAAAACCTATTGTTAG